ACAAAATAAAATTGTACATTCAAATATTTTCAGCTCGCGCTAACTGTTTCAAGAATTTTTTCTAGAGAAAAATAAAAGTTCTTCTCTGCAATATTCATCTTTTATACTTTGATATTATACATTGATAAAGAATTGATCTCTTCTTTGTAATTACTTTGGAATATTTTAATTAACTTAATATTTTTAATTAATTTAAACACTATACCTAAGTGTAAAAGAAAATTTATTTTTTTATTTTTTAATTGCATAAGAAAATAAATTTTTCTTCCATTTCTTAATTAAAATTAAGTAATTACATACAGCCGTATATGAGCGCGTACCATCTGCCGTTTCGAGCATACTTTCTCATAATGTTGTGTTCTTCCACAGTTTCGAGCATATCCCAGTCTACGAATAAGCGATCTGTGAGATCTTTAATCTACAAACATCAGCGATATACTCGATACCTCAGTTGCAATATTCTCAACAAATATATAAAATTTCGTCAAGAAGATCTCTTTTGCAAAGGAACTATTCGTGTCTGTGGCTTAGAACTAGAAATGTCGACACCATTCATATTAATTGAACATACTTTTCGGCTGTTAAATTGATATGTGAAAATTTTCACCAGAATCATCACCGTCAGCATATGTGGTGGTAAAGTTTGATAAATACACTGCGCGTTATCGCATACGACAAATTTTGCTATCTGAAAAATGCGATTATATCCATTTGTAATTTTAATCAACAAAGAGATTATTCGAATCGGCGCAGAATATTAATAAACTTCTGTTACATTAATTTTTTTCTTTTATGAAATAAAGATTTTGATTATGTTTACCTGTGTAACAAGTGCAGAAGCATCAAGAAAGAGTATAAAAATCAAGAAAGACAAACTCTCTTTTAATTTCTGATAAGGCCATTGGCCGACTAACATCAGATACCACTTACTGATATCGTAATAATAATTTCTACTATGTTCCATACTTCACAAAGAAGTAGTCATGAATTGTGTCGTGAATTTCGAGGCTTCCCTCAAAAGAGCTTTTTTCATGATAAGTGTCAGTTATAAATAAATCAATATTTTAGATACTACTGTTCTATACATACTTGTTCTTTCCATGATCGCATAATTGCATAACACGAGCGACAGGCATTTACGATAAGTATACATCTCGCAGAAGTATAATACATAAGTACTAATGATAGGCGTGAGTGGAGACAGCGTTTGATAGCTTACTTTGAGAAATTCTCTACTGTCTGAATTACGAGGATACGAATACGCTGGGGAATACGATAAGTATATTTTTAACTCCTACTGAATAGTTCAAGTCTTCGAGTTATTATTTGCGACAGATAGAAATCGACAATATTAAATTTTGACGAGTGTAGTTTTATTTTTTCGATTATATATGGAGAAGTGTTACATGGTGTTACTTGTCAATTTAATTTATTACTGACATCACGCGAAAATGGGAGCACGCAAAACGCAAAACTTGGTATATGATAAATGTATAGATGTTATTTATTTGATTATTTTAGTATGCCACTGAGTGTCGTTTTCTTTTAATAGATATTTTTATAATTAAATTGATTATCACTCTTTATGCATACAGCTTTTTAGATATATCTCTATATATAAAAATAACCAAAATATAAAAAATATTTCATTATACGTAAAATTCACGGTAAAAATGCCTTTATTTAATCACGTCAACAATATTTTAAAAAAATAATTTTCACAAAAATCTCTCTTTGCATTACCTTATTTAAAAAAAATACTTAATATATTATAAAACTATAAAATAAAGATGTTCCTATTTTAAATATTGTACAAGGAGTGTAGGAGGAATCTCATGTGTTCTTCCTCATAAAAATTGATCTATGCAGTTCGACAGCTCGGAAAAAAGAGGAAATCTTATATGTGGCAAGAGAGAGATAATTAAGATTTATTTCTTTTTATTCAAACGACTTTACTATATATTATATACTTTAGATATATTATAAATAAAATCTATTTTTTTAACGAAAATCCATTACTTTACGTAATAATTTATACTTAACAAAATATACAAACGAAAACTAAACGTTATCAGCATTTAAATATCGTGATTTCTTACCCAGTTTTTCATTTTCAATTTGTACATATTAAATATTTCTTCATAACTTGTAACTCTCTGTGAGACAATGAGATTTTAAATTATATTTAACAACGATGTTCAATAATGTAAGTAACTCGCTTAACATGATCAAAAATTCACTATTTTAATTGCACAATATTTACTACTATAATATAATTGTGATTGCACAATGATACTACTCGAAGTACATATTGATCATTAATTACTGGAAAGACGCAAGTACAGTAAAATACGACACAGAAGACTGTACAACCTTTAAAAGAAAAACATTTTTAGACTTCAAAAATTTCAAAAGAACATCGTAATAAAATGTAATAAAATGCAAAAATAATTTTTACCGTAGTGAAGCTCTTCAGAGAAAAGACATAAATTTTGCCGGCACTCAAAAAATTCGGTTGTATGCTCCTTTGCATCACGTACAGAAGCAATCTTTGCGATTTTGCGGGTATATTGTACCAGGAAGAATTATATCTGCAATTTTGTATTTCAAAAATCATCGAGCTTTAATTTAATAACATAACATAAAAATTATTAAAATAGAATTATTTCTATTAATTGTTTTATTCTCATAGGTTTTAATTTCCATTTATAATAATCAAATTGTCATCTTACATCTTGTTGCGCATTTGTAAGCTGTGATCTATCAATTTCTGGCCTTGCAGACAATAGCAGAACAAGTGAATCAGTTGACTAATGATAAATACCGTGTACCTCATCGTTTCCGCAATTTCTTCTATTTGCATCGCAATCTTGAAGGCGATAAATACAATATTTTAATCTCTTCTGGTATTAAGCATGCAAATGCGAGTGATAATGTGACACGATCTATCTCAAAAAGTGCCAGTACCACAAGTTGAATTGCAACAAATAGATACGTACTTGTAGCAAGGAAATGCTCATCATAACGGTAATTATCATTATTTGTATGCCGAAGGCAACGTAGAAGGTATTTTCAAGGAGCTTCGCGAACCTACAGTAAATAAATGTTGTGATATACGTAATTAATTATAATACTTGTTTTTTTTTTATAAGGGGTGCCCTAAAGATTTATAATTTAGAAGAAACATTTTTTTAACATTTATTGTAACAACTAATATTATCAGTAAATAATTAATTAAATAAATATAAATGTTTGAAAATTTCTCTTTGTCTCTCTCTCTCTCTCTCTCTCTCTCTCTCTCTTCTGAAAGAATGCAGGCTTTCATTTATCGAATTATTCATCGAACGACTATTGAACTCTTTCGAATATTTTTATCGTACCAGAAATAGTGGTAAATGCATTCTGTTTGTAAATTAAAAGTTTATAATTTTTCAATAAAGCATTTTCGAATACAAGTTTATATGCACTCGATCTTATTAATATATAAGTTATTCTCAGCTTTAGTGGATACATGTTTTAATTAAATAATTTAATTGTACATATTTTAATTAAATATTGCAGTCTCACCATAAAGCTCGCCGGTGTGCGTCTACAGAATCTGCGATCTTCCGATCGTATACATCGTCAAGACTTTTATTCATTATGTCGTGATCGTTACGTAATAAAGTTCCAAATCGAAGTCTAAAATAGACGATAATTCCACTCCCTCAATTAGATGCGATTAAGAAAATAGTAGAGAAATAGCATTTCATGAGTGATGAGGTGTTTTCCATTTGGTGACACAAGTCGACCCAAGTTCTATTATCTAAAGATATCATTCTATCTTTGTTACTCACTGAATGTTAAGAAAGACAGAATGATACTTTTGTCGATTTGTATCAGCAAATGGAAAGTCCCCACATCTTACCCAGCCACAGCAAAGATACTGCAAACGTGTTCGATGTAAACCAGAAGCATGCAATCGTGCGCGAGTAACGCTGTTAAAGATATCTCTACGCTAACGAGAGCGTGGAAGAAAATATAGAAGAAATATTTTTCGCCGTCTACGTAGTAATAGGCCTGATAAGGCATAAATACGGGTCGGGATTCATTAAGAGGTAATATGACATTCATTATGGGTGATATAAGACTAACTGATAGAAACGCACTGGAAGCTATGTAATAATATACTGTAACAAAACAAAATAATTATCCATTATCGGTTAAAATAAAAATGAGAATAATCGAACAATTTATCCCTTACAGCAACATGCCAAAGAAAGCAATCTCGCGTTCGCGGCATAAGTTTTCATAATTTCGTACTCCTCCGCGCCTTTCAACTTTTCCCAATCGCTAATCAGATGATCAGTGAGAATTTTTATCTAGAAACATTCTCAATGAATGTTAAATCTCATCGGACAGTCCACCGACGATCGTAAAAGATCGCGAATAATAATAAAAATTAGAATAATCATTTTTTGAGCAATATATAGTATAAATTTCGGTATTAGCATACTTTGCTTCTGTTAAAATAGCACGTATACAGTTTCACCAGAATCATAATCATCAACATAAGCGCTGGTATTGTTAATAGAATACATCGAGTATTTCCACCGCATTGAATAAATTTGGCCACCTAAAAATGTCATTATTACAGTACATCTTAAAAGATCAATTTTAATTCTCATCTTAAATTCTATAATTTGCGACCATTTTCACGGAATAAAATTCTATTTACTTACAGATTTTCTATGTGATTTATTTATTTATTTATTTATTTATTTTACCCAAGGATTTGATTCTTAATGTCAATAAACAGTCAAATTTTGTAATAAAAAAATGATCGTTTTGACTTTTGTGGCATCAAAATAAAGTCATTTTGACTTTCTCTTGACTTGATTATATATTCCTTGGATATATGCCACTTCAAAGTGCATTTTATATACTTTATATAGATTTATTAGATATATATATTTAGATATACATATAGATTTCATGAAGTCATAAACAAAATTCAAAGAAGAGCTGCGCGGTATGCGGATTATCTCCGTGGTTTGATACATCACTAAATGTCAAATGTCGTTACGTAAACATTGAAATTCACTTCATTAGAGCGAGAATCCTAATACTGTATTAGGATACTGAAACGATGATATTTAACAATGTATCAAGACACAAAGATAACCCGCAAACCAAATAACTTCTTTAAAAAAAATATCTATGAAAGTCTCTAAAGTATTGTAAACAAAATTCTATCCTGAATTTACGTCCAAAGCGAGTTTAACACATGTAGACAACATTGTATATCGTACTGTAATTAACTTTTTTATGCATTCTATTGATTATTAGATTAGAACTAATATGAATACGTAGAAATGTTACCCAGGTAGAACAACAGGTCAAAATTACGTTAAAGTAAATACTAAATAATCGAAAAGTGACTTTTAGTGATCATTTTGATGCTACAATTTATTGTTCTGCTTGAGTATGAAAAACTTCTCTGGAACCTGTGGAGCGATCATCGAAACAACGGCTACAGTCAACAAGCTCATTCGGGACAACCTCATTTTCTTTTCTTGATAAGGCCATTGGCCGGCGAATAACAGCAATTTTTTTGTAACACTAATCCCATAAGATTTCTGCGCCGATTCCATAATTTTCGAAATAGTGTTTCGCCTTCGGCGGCACGCAGTCGACTAAATTTCTCGTCTTGTTACGAGAAATTAATATTTTATCAGGCATGAAGAGGGAATATATTACATATGCGGAAACCTTTAACGTAACAATCTTCTATGTCTCGTAAAAAGTGGACACAAATGGTTGCCTGTCAATGAACGAGGCGATTTTTTCCCAAGAACATATCGATCGGGATGTCCATGAAGGAAATAAGAGTTCCTGTGACACTGTACGTCTGTTTAGCTTCAAAATAAAAACTATGATGACTGTCATGTATATGTGTATCTTGTAGATTGTTGCATAATTGCTACATTCAGTACTGCTACGAGCAATATCGACAAGCGTCTCCGACGTGCAATATTTGCGCTCCATCCTGTTGCGGAAATAATTAGCACAAGAGAATGGCGACCAAGAATTACCAATTTCTTGGTACCAAGACTAGCGATATGCTTTTCCTTTTTAATTTTTTTTTTTTTATACGGAAATATGTATGTTAGGGTTGTGTAAAAAAATCGAAACAAAAATCTTTTTGATTGGTATCGACAACAAAATAAAATTTCAATAATTTAACCTCAATAAATAATAGTAAATATATATACTATTTTATTTAACATATAATTTGTAATATTATACTTCTGCGAAACTTTTTTTCATGAATATTTCACTGCATGCTGCTTTAATCGTCAGGTATCGATTATGACACGTTAAAGGATGACAGTAATGTAAAATACGACATCGAACTTTGCACGATCTAATGAGAACATTTAAAGATTTTTATATGTCTTTTTTAATCTATGTATTTAATTATTTGATTTAATCTATGTATTTTAGTAATATTTGTCATTGTTTTACCATTGTAAAATTTTCTAGCGAAAACACATACATTTTGCCGGCGGTCAAGGCACAAGCTTCAATGCTTTTTCTCATCACGAACAAAAGCAATCGCTGTTCCTTCACAGGTATTTTATACCATGAGCTATGATAGCTATACAAAATCATCATTATACATAAAGAAAATATACGTGATAAATAATAAGTCGCTCTGAGAAATAAAGTTCTTGTAAGTAATTCTATAGAAAGTACATCTTTTATACCGACCAAGTATTTTCTTTTTATATATACATATTATTAATTATATAAAGCTAATTAACTTCCAATTCAATCTCTTACATGTTGTCGCGAGTTTCGAGACTATGATTTATCAGTTTTTGTCCTTGGAAGCTAAAGCAGAACAAGTGAAACAATTGAGCCATAATGAAGACAAAATATCTCGTCGCTTCCGCTGAATCATGCAGCTGAGACGAAAGCTTGAACGCGAGGAAAGTATGATCCTGTTTTAGTTCTGCGTTATGTGTGTTACGGAATTCTTATATTCATCTATTTGTACATACTCACTTGTACCAAGGTAATGCTCAAGCAGACCGTAACTAACAGGATTTGCACAGCAAACGATATCGAAAAAGTATCTTCGAGAAGTTTAGCAAATCTAAAAATACGATATTGATGACGACTTGAACATTTAAATAAAAATTAGATCAAAATATTGCTTATTATAAATAATTTAGCAAAAATTATCTTAATTAATTAACATTGGAATTAATAAAAGAAAAATGAGCTACGACATTATTACGTACTGCAAGGCCTTTCGATGGACATGAATCGAAATCACAATGTTTTTGTAATATATGTAATCCGGACAATCAATCACACTTTTTTCCGTATTACTACTTTCATATGATACATGCTCAAATCTGTATCTGCAAGTATTTATGCAACATAACATTGTTATGAGAGTTTTTGAGAATTAATTTTAGTCTCTTCCAAGTGAACGTATACATAAGCTAAAACTATTATTTACTTCTTGGTAAAATATTATTTATCTTCAAGCTATAAAAAATGTAATTTTGTGCTTTTTTTTATAAGCAATCATTACCTAACGATGGCGAAAAGACCGCAAATGTGTTCGATGTAAGTAAAAAACATGCAATCGTGTGCGATTAAGCCAGTTAAACATATAGTAGAGCAAATCATCATATGGAGAAAAATGTAGTGAAAATATCGATTTTCGTCAACGAAATAGTACGCTGGATATGGCAGCATTACAGGCCGAGAAATATTCAAGGGAATTACGACATCCAAGATGCGTGGCATGAGAGAGGTTGTTGTAAATGAAATGGTAGATATGTAAACATATGCTGTAATAAGAACAGAATTAATCGACCCATTAAAATCTAAATTAAATTCCTTATTTGTTAAATAAACATTCGATTGCTAAAATTGTTTCGCATCTTCTTATAATGCATTGATTTGTCGTCAGAATTTTTTCCTTTTCATCCATATTTTTTTAGTTATATAATAAACGTACCAGTTGATGGCCATGACCCAATTATTGGACAAAATGACAAAAATTTTAAATGTTATTTTAATAATATACACATATATGACTCTAAATAAATTTGTTTTATTAAATTTGTATAATAACAAATTTATTTAGTCGTATCATATCATTAAAAGCTTAATACTCCTGACTAGTGGCGACGGTCATATTTGTATCGTGACGTCGAAGCGAAGAATGACACGTGAATTTATGTTGCGTGCTATTTTTAAATAAAGATAATTTCGATGAAACGAAATCGCTTTGAAACACTTGTAAAAATTGATGAAAACTGTCCTTTCCTCCCTTGACAGTCAGTAAATGGTCGTAAAAGGCATGTAAAGTGAGCCTAAAGAGGTATACATTAATATTATGTTTTTATTTTAAAAGGTTACCTTCTGTTGCAACATATTAATATTATATTATGATAAATTTAGTAAGCGAGTATTAATATATATATGTGTACGTATGTATATATGCTGTATGTAAATACGATATGTGTGTGTGTGTGTGTGTGTGTGTGTGTGTGTAAATTAAATTATAAATATATATTTATATACAGATTGAAATATGTATGTACATATGTAGATACATATTTAAATCAATAATAAGTATATATTATTTATATCTGTACCTTCCTGTAATTTTATTTCATGCTTTTTCTCTCTTTTTTTAGTACACTTTTTAGTTCATTTATGACCTTAGTGTACTAGATGTTACATTTTGCCACCAAGAGAGAGGGTATTAATCATGAAACTTTTTTCCTAGGCTGAAAAGTAAAAAATGAAAAATTTCTCCATTAACTTCAATGGTTAAAATTTTCATTTTTATTGATGTGACGATTGATAACTCGCAATATGTTTTCATTAATATGTTGTAGCAAGTGCAGTATATTGTTTAGTAAATAAATATGTTTATTAGGAATAATAGATATTTTTAGTCAGTTAATATTTTTGCTAAAATCTTACGTTAATGCATACATCAACTCTATAAATATACGCACTTACTAAATTTCACTCTTGGACATCATATAATATCTACGCATTGTGACATTATATTATAATAATAATATTTACATATTTATAAATAACTGTGACGTTTTAGTTTTTAAACGAGGAATCTAACATTCTTCCTAAAAAATAAATTTTTATTCATATGCAGATTTAAATAAAAATTTTGCATACAAATAATATGTTCTTTGTTCTTATTTTTATTATCTAAAATTTCGTCATTTCGTCCAATAATTGGGTCATGTTACTAACAATCCACTAATTGGTACAATTATCTTATAACTAGACTGCGGATATTTAACTGAATGTTAAGTATTTTGCATTGGACAGTTTTAGCAGTCGATCATTGTTCGTTATTAAAGAGTTATTAAAAAATAAAGTAAAAAGGTTGAGATTGCCATCTGTAAATGTGCAATTTATGCAAAATATTCAGTTAAATATTTTGCATAAATATCCGCAGTCTATTTATAACAAATAATAAATTTCTTTAGTCTGAGCTAAAATCAAGAAATTACTCACAGCTGTATATCAACACGTACCATCTGCCATTTTCGGCATATCTTCTCATAATATCGCGTTCTGTTTTAGTTTCGAGCATATCCCAATCTATAGATAAGCGATCTGTAAGATCTTTAATCTAGAAACATCACCGATATATTCGACATACGGATGCAATATCTTCAACGATTACAACATCAACAAAGTCTAAGATCTTAGAGAAAGAAACTGAATTAAAACTATGGATTACTATGGATATTAACTTAAGATTAGAATGTCGATACCATACGTAATAATAAAACGTACTTTCTGGTTATTAAATTGATACGTGAAAATCTTTATTGGAATAATCGCTGCCAGCAAATGTGGAGGTAAAGTTTCAAAGATACACTGCATGTTATCGCATACGAAAAATCTTGCCGCCTGAAAAATGTGGTTGCATTCATGTATAAATTTAATTACAAATAAATTGTCCGACTGGGTGCAAAATCTCTATTTTCTTAAAAAAAAAAAACAGATCCGACGATAATTAACATTACCTGTGTAACGAGAATACTGACATCAAAAATAAGAATAAGGATGAAGAAAAACAAACTCTCTTTCGGTTTTTGATAAGGCCACTGACCGACTAATGTCAGATACCTTTTACTGATATCGTAATAATGTTCCCTGCTGGGTTCCATACTTCATAAAGAAGCTTGCCTTTCTTGGCACTACAGTGTTATCTGAATTTCTCGAGGAAGCTTTTCTTGGAAAGTGTTTTCATTCCCGCAATAAAAGTAGGTTATAAATAAATTAATATTTCAGATACACCGCTCTGCACTCGTCATTTTCCCTTCACCCGAGGGAATACGATTGCATGGCGATCAAACGTTTCTATCATGGGTGACAGGCACTTACAATAAATATAGGTTTCGTATAAATATAACGTAAGTATTAATAGGCGCAAGTGGACAGCATTTGACAGTCAATTTTTTAGAAGAAACATCACATATGTACATTCTAATACATTTGTATTAAATACATTTGGAGAGTACAATAAACGTCTGTAATCGCACTAAACAGTTCTCAAACTATTACTCACGTTTCAGCAATAGAAAATAACTGCAAAAATTGCAATAAACTTTGAGTGTTTCGCTTTCTAGATCATACGAGTCCAAAATGCGAATAAAATATCATGGTAAGTTAAAGTTATAGAAAAGTTCTTTCCAGAATAATACCGGCATTATAATTATGACATATTCAACTGTAGTATTTTTAGAGAACAAATGTAATTTTATTTTCAACAAAATTACATATATTTATTTATTTTAATATTGTAAACTAGACAAATAATTAGCGGTTTAAATAATTTCTTTTTTTAAATGTAGATTTTTTTTTAATGAAAGATACATTGTCTGTTAGACCTCATTTTTATAACAAAATGTAAAAAAGAATACATTTCTTATAGAGAGAATTTACACTTTAATATTGTCGTTGTGTAGCTGCATAACACAGTTTCATTTCACTTACCTGTAAATCTTCAAAGAGTGACTTATCTTCGTATCAAGATCGACCAACAACTCGCCATTAGAATTAATTGTCCGTCGTCGTCGCGCAAGATTGGGAGCACGCAAAACACAAGGCTTGGTAGGATATACAGATGACATTTATTTAATTACTTTATTATTTATGCTACTGAATGCTATATTCGTAGTAGGTATTTCTATAATTATATCGATAGATCATGCGTGAATCCGTAGAATGCGTGAGGTTTGCCGCGCGAGTTTTACAGCCCGTGTATGAACGCGTATGTTATAATGATCACGCGTGTGTAAATTAATTACAAGGGGAGAAGAGGGGGGGGGCCGGACGCGAGGGGGGTGGTTGGGAGGGTGGACGCCGCTCCGAATGTGCGGGCGCGCCATCATCGAAGAAGTCGCCCCTCTCGACGAATCGTCGACCATGCGCGATCAAGAGCTCTTGCCCGCTCCGATTTCTCCGGCTGATCCGCGAAGAACTGTGTGTGTGTGTGTGCGCGCGCGCGACTCGATTTACACCTAAGTTTCTCTCTTTTTTTCTCTCTCTTCATGCCCTTCGATCGCGATCGATATCGGATCGGTCCCTCTCGATCGCGAATATGTAAACTAATAAACGGGGACTCAATCACTATCTCGAACTTCGGCCTTCAACTCTCTCACTATCAGCTTCCTAATTTTCATTCGATCGTCGTTCATGAGAAGATCGTCGCTAAAGAGGAACTTCCACGTCACGTCTGTTCGTGACTTGATAACTCACTCTTGCTTGAAATAGTGAAGGAGTTAGACACGCCTTTCCCTCGGGGATAAATTCTCGTTTTTCTCTTCTCTCTCATTTTTTTTACAACCACCGCTCGCATATCTCGCTGCCGAAATGTATTCTTAAATAAGGAACGCAGAGGGGTCGAGGTAACGATCGAGTCCGACTACATACATTTAAGAACTTAGCAATATACATAAGGACGTATGTAACGTAAGGCGCAGCTCCCATCTAGGGATTGCGATGATCCATTGCCATCATCTTATCCGATTGGATCAAAGTAACTTGACAATAAAATTACTAATATCCTCCTCCTATCCGCGATACATTTCGATTGATCATTTAGATCTGTTCTTGTCAGCTGCAACTCTTTTCACGCTTTCTGCACTTAAAACGAAGCAACTATACGTTTACGCTTTGGAAAGAGAAAAAAGGAAGAGGAAAAGCGTAGAAGGTGCATCCAGTAAGAACAGACTAAATGAATGAAGCGGCCAGAGAGAAGATCCGCAAAATTTTCTTATGGAACTCACATATTCTATTCTTTATACAAAATACCATAGTAGGATATCCTGAATTCAACGCTAGAGAGAGAGCGATCGAGATTACCATTTTTTCTCTTATTTTCTTCGAAAATAAGAAGAAATAATAATCTGCGTGCTAAATTAAATCTGTAAATTATCGAAGATATACTGGGTGCGTTTTGATTTTATAAAAAGAACGATGCGTTTGAAACGATACTTAATAAATGTATACAATCGATGATATAGCAGTGGAATCCGACCGATGATCTTTTCAGTGCTACAGATATTTGAATCAATAGAACATTAGCATAGTAAAACGAGTATGTTACATTTAAGTAGAAAACGCATCGTATGTAAATCTTAAAGAAATTTCTCTCATGTACGGCATATCATTCTCACGTACGAATTGGAATTATATAAAAACGTCGCGCATCCAATCATTGTCTATTAAATTTGTTACAATGAACGTCCTAACAATCATTCATTACCGGCCACAAAGCACAATCGCTCAGACGTAATTATTTTCCCAAAACAAATACTTTCGTTAATTTAGATAGATATTTCTCACAAATCGTAAATATTTGGTGTCTGTAAGATTCAAAAACACCATCTATATATGCACTAATATTATTTAATATAAATTATATAATATGCAAGAATTGCGTTCAAACAAATCAAATTGCACTACTTGTAGAAGAATATCATAATGCACTTAATAATTATAAAATAATTATAATATAATATTTAATAATAATAAGTTAGAAACAAACCGTAATATAAATATAAATCAACTAAATAAGAGGAGCGCCATTTCCGGTCAAAAATAAAAAATATCTATTCAACATAATTATGAAAACATTATGATATCTATACATTATCATATCTATACATTATCACCATCTTTTACGATCGGTGAAAATAAAGATTAAATGTGCTAAATTGAAATTGAAATACATATCTTACATATCATAATTAATTATAGTTAATCTTTTTTCAATAGAGAAAGAGAATTTCGTGAGTATTCGAACTTCGAATACTCAAGTTCATTTTATAAACGCAAAGTTACATACTAAACCGTGCGATATGAAACTGATCGTAAATGATCATCACAGGATATAATCGTGGAAGAGTACAAGTCCTAGCAAAATACTTTGTAACCGGCCACATGTAAATTAAGCATTCCTCCTTTCCATCATAAGCTTGCTTTGGTTCATGATGATATAATCGCATATTTATCGTACAGTAGAAGTAAATTTGGTCCTCGATCGTGACGGAATACCAAAGATCTTCCACGTTCGGGCGACGCAACTTTCATCCTTGTGCTTATAAACGTCTTACTGCGATATTACTGGCGACTTTACGTATCCATGGCTACATAACGAAATGTTTTTCGTTTCTCTTTCTTTTTCTTTTTCTTTTTCAGCCAATTAATCCTCCTCGTAGTCCACGTAATTGACCTTGTCCTTGGGCTCTATGACGGATCAATTATCTGATTCGAACCCTCGAACTAGGTTTCAATCAACGACAATTAACATATTTTTCAGTTTTACTGGCTATGATCAGGTTGTCCGGCTCTTCCCAAATCATAATCGAATAAAGCTACAGACGAAGAGTTAATCGTAATTAACTTGGACGACCAATCCTCGATTGTACGAACTTGGCTGTATAACAAAGATCTCAATAGAGATTGTTGTACAGAACGAATAAACTGCGATCGAGATCATTCAGAAAATTTCGCGGACTTATCTTGGAAACGATCGTGATCGTAAAAATTTCAGGAGTTTAACGTTTACACTAATATAATACTATCACACACACGCACTCTTTCTCTTTCTCTCTCTCTCTCTCTCTCTCTCTCTCTCTCTCTCTCTCTCTCTCTTCGTCATGTACTAAATAAGATACTGGAACAACGTTCGCGGTTGTATCCTAAGATTAAACGTATGCTAAGCGAACGAGTAACGAACGTATGATAAATGCGAGTTTTAACCAGCTGAAGTTCAAGAAATATTTACTTCGTATACAGGGAATGCAGATAAAAAAGAGAATAATCGTTACTCGAGTATCCGATAAGCGTTTGGCTTCGACTGGAAATTTCCGCACGTTGCGGGAAATTTGAAGTAAGCTCGACCGCGTTATTCGTTCGCTCAGAATGACGTATCCACCTCGAGGGTAACAACACTATCAATGTTCGATACTGTACAACATCGCTGTGCGAGAACGTCGGTCGACGCGTGAGAGTCGCGCGAAATCGATGTTCTCTTTCTCTCTGTCTCTGTCTCGAAGGTCTCTCCCGTCCTGACCCATCGTGGTCCTCCTTGTAGCAGCGCGCGACAAAAAGGATGGATCACCAATGCGCGCAAGAGACCCTTCTTGCGCCCTTCCTCACGGAGATCGATCTACGCCGTTCGACGGCTCGGAAAGAAGAGAGGAGAGGAAGATCTTATACGTGGTGAGGTGCAGCAAAGGTTTCATCCGAGAAAGGGACGAATAGGAAACGTACGAGGCAGGAGAGTGGTTTCCACGGCGAAGGGACGAGGAGAAAAGACGGTGACAGGAGGGGGAGAGGGAGGGTGGAGAAGATGGAAATAATTCCTTCTCGGACTAAAGGAAGAAAGGAAATCGATTGCGTTTATCTCTTATATTGTTAATTTGGTCTCGGGGTCCAACGACTCGTGAAGAGTTATTGTATGAAATAATCGGGATGGTCTGAGTCCTTCTCAAACCTCTTCGCCTCCTCCTGCATGCTCTCCTTGATCTTCAGGATGGCTGCCGACTCGGTCTGATCCTGCGAATCAACCAACACCAGGCCGGTTACACGTAAACGATCAGGCAAGCCCATCAACCTTGCCCAAGTTTTTCCGTGCGCAGCGTCTTTCACCAGCGTGATTCGCGGGACTCTCGGGTAATCGCGCGTCGGAATTTCGGTTAAGGGTTTCCAGTTTTTTTTTTTCGTAGCCCGAGCGGTAAATGTCCAGTCAAGTATTTCTCTCTCGTTGCCGCGCGTAAGGGAACGCGTATACCAGGAATCTGCCCAGTAATTTCTTCCCAGATAACGAAGGGCGCGAGAGAACGTATATATCATCGCGGCTCGCAGGAGCGACGACGGTGGACGAGAACACCGAGGAGTCCCGCGAAATAAAATCCGTCTTCACCCCCGTGTGCGAAAACGCTGGCCGGTGAATAAAACGCTTTTAAAAGCGCAACGTGATGGCGGTGCGTCGTGAAGGGGCCGGGCTCGTGAAACGAAAAACTCCGTGGGACAGGGACACTGAGGAGGTGTCGGTCTCGTTGTCGGGAACCGGAAGAAAAGTTGGAGCTTGAGGTACTGTTTGCTTAAGGGTGCTCTGACCCACAACACATGGACGTTACGTAAGATAGTGAAGCCCGTGTCGAGCTGAACATAATACAGCAATAAGAATAATAACGATAACAATATTAATGATGGAGTGATGATGATAATAATAATAATAATAATAATAAAAATAATAATAAATATAACGAAAAATTCATTATCGTCGCCTGCCCCCCCACGCACGCACACCTCACCGATTATAAACGACAGGTAGTACAGTGAAAAAAAAGATACTCTAGAGAAACTCGACGTGTCGTCCTTCACACACTTATGTTTTTTTTCCCCTTTTTTTTTTTTTTTTTTTTTTTTAGCGGAAGACTCTTCCGCCCCTTCGGAATTTTCGTCTCCGCTTATTTTTTCGTGTCTCGCAATCCATCGATTCGCTTTGCGCTGACGCATCCATGTGCTACAGGTCAGTACAGGCTAGTACTATATACAGCTATCTGTTCTGCTCTAGTCCGGTTTTACGTATTTCATACGTAGTGAATACGAGAGAACACGTTCAACGAGAGTGCAACATCGATCATGACAATGTGTTCCACAGCCGCCAGCGATAGTGGTGCAACGTCCGACTTAGCGGAGATCAGTGTCCAAGTATCAACGATCCAAGAGTTGGCTTAAAGTCAGCGAGTTTTTCATTTAAAAAGTAGATACTGATCGGGCTAATCGGACGGATGGTACGAACAAAGCGACGAGTGAAACACAAGTGATGTGTGTTGTGTGATTAGCACAAGTGCAAATACACGGAGACGGATAGTTATATATAAATACGATGATAGCCAGCACCCCTCGGATTGAATCGTAAATAAAAAAGAAAAACGCAATAATCTCAGTGTAACAGGATTACATTTATTGTCTCGATCTCGCCTGGCTTATAGGCATATATTAATTATGTTATCATTCAGCGATACGTTCGGCTTACAACGAGGAGTATATCAAATAAATTGGCATTAAGGGTACCAAACTGCGCCCGTCCGTTTCACGAGTCTCTATTGTTACTGTTATCGATGAACTAGGAACAACGTCAAGCGAAATAAGTCGGCGTTGTTTCCGCTCGAGGAAACGACTATCGTGGAGATCAGCAATATCGACAATTGCGATTCGTCGTGCGAATCGCGTTTCAAGCTTCGTACCCTTAATGCGCCGCTTTGCCGAGCTTTTCCTTCACTCATTGACTCGTGTTGTACGTCCTCGCATTAAAAAGAAAAGATTATGCGACTCCACAAGCGCGCGTGTACTTTTCTCCGTTTGACGTTTATGGGCTTAACGGCAAGACGGCAAGAACTTCGGGATATCGGCAAGCAGTACGTTCTGCGAGGCTATCCTGTAATATCTCTTGTGACAGGCGGCAAACAATTCCGATCAGGTAAATTGACAAGCTTTAATTACAAGATGAACCTGTCACTATGTCATCCGCGCGATCGCAACTTTAGCAAATAATTAATTCATAATTATTTCATGTATTTTATTCTCGCGTTCATCATGTCATTTACCATCTGTCGCAAAATGTGTATAAGTATACAAATTTTTGACAATATATAAATGGTGTGAAGCAAAATACTCTGTTTTCTGAATGATCCATCTGTTAATCCACGATCCCAAATAAGAAGCGTTAAAGAACCCCCAAGAACATTCGTAGCAAGGTAGGCTTTTGTAAAAAAAAAAATAAATAAAATAAAAAAAAAATAAAAAAAACGAGCTTTCACAACGAGGAAATAAAAAAAAAACTTGCAGCGTCTTGCCGTTTGATCCCAGAGCATGCACTTGCGCATACGCACATTCACTCCTCTTTCTCTCTCTCTCTCTCCCTCTCACCCATTCTCTCCGTGTATTTTTTTTTTTATACATAAAATTTCATCGATGTCTCGGCATAAGTTAATTTAAACATAACTAATAGCAGCACAGTATAGTCCAGTACTGACCTATAATCAATGCGGACGGATGGATTCCGGGAAATCTCTCGCTTCTCACCCTCGCATTTTATCTTCCGTTTCTCTATCTATATTCGCTCTCTAAGGTTCAGTACTCGCATGTCTACGTATCTTATATTCATACAAAAATATTAACGTTTGCATATATATATATACATATACATATATATTATATATATACATACATTATATATATATATATATTATATACACATATGTATATATATATAATATATATTTTTCTTATATACCTCTTTCTCTCTCAAGTACTTCGTTTAAGCTACCTGCAGTAAACCATTCGCTTCGCAATATCGCGTAATCTCGAGTTGTCGAACTGCCGTTCGCTGAGAGATCCGCTTTTACCGTTGTACAATGTCAATCGGCTACCAGTGTCAAAGGTGAAAGCTACGATCAATTAATTTACATGAAATCATCGTTGCTCGAGTCGCACGATTAAAAGTACGTAGATTTAAAATTCTGCTTTCAAAAGAGATTCCACCTTTCGTTCTACAGATGCTAAAAATTGAGCAAGTGACGAGCTTTACATACTTCGCACGAGAAACGACGGCAAAACTAAGTGTTAGAGAGTCATGAAACGCGCGTTTCAATTGATTGATTGAACGCGCTGATTCTGCACGAATTTAAATAGGAACGATTCTAATTAATTTAATACATTTATTACCGCGCGAGCGATATTCACGGACTGCATGAAGCTTGATCTATAATGTGTATTCTTGGCTCCCTGTTTTTTATTTTTCACCTCTTTGTAATCATTTTATTGACAATCATGTTTCTTGTTTTTTCCGAAGTTCATCAATTTTTTACTTAGACGAGTTTCAAATTTAATCAACTTTTAACTCGGACAGAAAACAAAAAACAGGATAAGAGGCAAACAAAGGACAAAACTTAAAAAGTAGCAAAAAGCACATTGTGGATCAAGTTTTAGAAAACGATTAGAAACACGATGCGACTTTATATATAATTATCCCAAAAATTTAGATATCCCGATTGGGAAAAATTGGCCATTAGAGATTTTACAGTACGGTGCAAGCTTACCTTGTAAAAAGTTATTATTAATTCGTTAATCATTTCTACGCGTTTGTATCAACGTTGCTTCGCGAGCAAGAAACAGTAATCCGTATGTATCCCGTTATAGAAATGTATGTACGATACATTAATTTCCATTTGCAAAGCTAATGACGGATGCAAGAAAGACAGAATGCCTGTTCCTAATATTGGAAACAGACTGTGAGCAAATAATTGGAGGGATTCGGTCCGCGTAATCCTAGACTGTGTTCACTTTATTACAGAGTCTGATCATATCGTGATCGTTATTGCAAGATGTGCGAAAGTTGAAACTGCTAGATTCACGTAAGTGTAAAAAGACCGCGCGAGCTACACCTTCTCGGAGGAACCCTCACCTGCCGTTTTACAGTTTACACCGTTTAACTTTATAATGCAGTAAAAAACGGGCCAAACATCAACTCAGTATCAAGTACAACTCAGAGTGGTGCGTTTCAAACGAGATTAAAAAAGAAAACAAGAACGTAAAAATCGATTAATAATTATGCGATCAGTAATCACAGTAGCGGATAGTTATATACGTATATTCTATCGTGTATGTGTATAAATGTGTATATGAACGTGTTTTGTGTCTTATGTAACAATCTTCACGTAATTTTTCAGGCACCTTTACTTACGACCTATATATAATTGTCAAATAAATATAAATAATAAAAAATAATCTGACAAATCTCTTAAGTAAATATTAACTAGCTTCCGTAGTAAAATATAGGCATAATCCAGGGATTGAAGATGGAAACAATTTTACTAACAATTATTTCGGTATATCATGCATATGTGTATGTATTTATTTTTATAAAATCGCAATATCATAAATATCTTGAATTATATTATTCTACGTCAAACGTGATATACAACTGAAAAAGCTTTTCGTTATAAATTATAAAAGAAAAGAATACAAGAGAATCAAGTAAAAGTATCAATTTAATACTTATCAGTGTTTTAAATAATTTAATACTAATAATATCATATATTGTAGTATCAAAAAGCTATGTGTAACAATATTATTTATATTAATTCATTTTTATTTCGGTTATTGTATAACATTATATAATATATATATATATAACATTATATATTTTTATTACATATTTTAATTAAATGTATGAAATACAAATAAATACCGATAAATAATCAGCTTTTTTTACCGTTTTCAATCCCTGGTGTAATCATAGTAAAAAAAAGAATTATAAAATATCTAGTCTTGCAACCTTTTGAGTATTTAAACAAAGCATATACATATCGTATTCCTAGACACGGCAAAGCGCACGTGTAAGAATAATCGTTGCTCAAGTATCTGCGCCATTTAGTGATAGTAGTTCAATTAATGAGCGCTTAAGTGCTAATCCTAATCGAGCAGGAGCAATCGATAACGACCGCACGCTGCGTTTAACACGAATATCATTAACTTTTTTTTTCGCTCTGGCTTGCTACGAGCTTGAACCACTACATGTGCCGGACTATAGCGAAACTAGCCGGAACGCACCATGGAACACGTGAATACGCAGCGAAACTGCGATGCTTTTCCACATTACATGTATATAACCGGCACACCATGTGCGAAGTCTACGGCATCTACGAACTCGGGGCTGGCTCCAAGGCGACTTGATTTTTTAAAAAAACTGTCGAGAATACAGAGAAGGTGCACGTACGTGATTACTGATAACTCTTTTCGCAAGACTCGCAAAGAACGTCCGCGACGCCGTCACACTTCTAGATTATGACAAAACTTTGCGGATTATGCATAACTGAAGATTAAAAACACATTTCTTGTTTCATTAAAACTTCCATGCTCATAAAAACTTCCGTTTGAAAGATGAAATCACACGTGCGTGCAATAAATACAAAACAAGTTTGAAAAGAAATTTGTAAGGTGGAGCGTTAAATCGAAAATGAAAATTACGCATAAATAATATACATATATACATTTTTTGCTACATATAATAATTTTGTTCTAAAAGAAAACAATGTTTAAATAAATTTATAAATATTATTTTAAACATAGAGAGAGAGAGAGAGAGACCGACTTGATTCCGGTCTTATAAGTACAAATTTTTTTAAATAAAAAAATCTTGTCGGCCATTTTCAATTATCGGACAAATCGCCAAAGTTTCAGCAAAATCGAAGACGAAAGCGTCGTGACTGTTCCTTGTCATATCCTACTGATAATCTCATATAACAACATATAAGATTAGCATGTAAAATCGTAAACGCGATTGAATCAAAAGTTCGATTACTTTGTCGCACGAAAGTAATTTGGTATTTCACCTTATCATAAAGCACGCAGAAAGAACTTGAAACACTTATATAAATTATGTATAAATTATTTTTCATAAAATCAATATAAATAATAGATTGTTAAATAAAAAATAAATTATTAAAAATCAATTATATTATATTAAGTCTCGTCATCTTTCTGCCTACTTTATAACTGCATCGTTAGACGTTATTGTTAGTGTGATAGTAGTTAGACGCAATTTCAGCGAATACGGTTATGACAAATATTAGATGCGACCAAATGACGCTGATTAAATTTACCAAAATACCATGTAACGCGTGATTAAACAGAATACCTTCCGAGAAATTTATAGGGACAAATGATACTCTTGTAAGAAAGCATTAACAAGCCTGTTGGAGCGAGGCTGAGGATAAATCCCTTGAACGAGACTGAACCCATATTATTTTAGCAAAATATGTGAATATCCGCCGTACTGATAGAAGCGCTTGTGGCTGTTAATTGAGATGATTAGAAGGGCAATAAGTTGTAACATGGATTCGTATGCCACAAAAATGATAAATAAATAGATAATAATTTAAAATAAAGTTTTGAAGATTAATATACAGTATAAAGAGAATGAATAAAAGAGGTGATTAGTCAGATCAAACAATGACATACAAATCCACAACAACACGTCGAGTGTGTGACCATTAGAAAAAGTTATCAAACAACCTGTGCATACTTACATTCTCTCCAGGAGCTCCGAATCCACCCAGATTATAATCACCCATTCCGCTGCCGCTATCTTCCCGTGGTGTTCCAGGACCACCATTCGCTGGACTGTTCTTCATCCCATCGAGACCGTCACCGTTTAGAACCGGACCCATTGTATTAGGACCCATAGGTCCCATTGGACCGCCTTCAGGCCCGCCGCTCATTGGAAAATCCTAAAATATATTATAGCATTACTTACATGTAATATATATATATATATATATATATAAATGTTCTAGATATTAATTGTTTGTCTGGGATTTATAAAAAAAACTTACAGCCCAGATACAGCTTATTAATAAATTTAAAATATAATAAATAGCTGTTATTATTTAGCCACTTACACCCGGCATATTTCCTCCAGGTACAGGTTTCATAATGGTATACATATTTTCTCCTCCACTATTGCTGCTATCCTGTGGGCTAGGCATAATGGGTGTACCGGGTCCAGGCGGACCCGTTGATCCAGGCGGCCCTCCATAGTTACCCGGCGATGACGACGAATAATTCATTGGCTACGTTACAAAGAGATGTTAAATATGTATTCGTTAAAATAGTATTAAATATTAGAAATGTATCGAGAAATAAAAATTGATATGTATATATCTATACCGTAGATGTGTTGGGTTGCCACTGTTGTCTACCACCTGGAGCAGCCATACTCATCGGTGGCATTCCAGGACCTCCTGGTCCACCTGGACCCAAAGTACTGTTGGGTGGTGGACCTCTCATACCTGGACCATAACTTCCAGGACCCATCGGTCCCATCCCTGGTCCTCGGGGAGGATTCATTCTTGGATTCATTGGGTTCATTCCTGGTGGACCTATGATAGAAAGTAGAGTTTGGTAAATTCAATCGTTAAATAAGGGATTGTTAACGTTTGTTCTAGTTCTATGTTAATGCTAACTGCTAATTACGATTTTTGTGGACTAAACGATAAAAATTGTGGATTTGTGAACTTTAAGATAAAGTAACTTGTATGTGAGAATGGGCTTCATGTGCGATATAACATTAAGTGCGGACTTAAAGTGAAAGTCAAATTGAGTCATGCTTTGCCAAAGTCGAGCTCAAGGTAAAGCCGGTGGATGACATGCCGTTCAAGCAACTGTCACCACACAAATTAACATAGTGAAAAGCTCATGCTAAAGATAGAAATAGCATGGTATTAAATTGCGAACAATTATACATTCAAATATAAAAAAACAAAATAATTTCGTTAGCTGTTAATTATTAAAAATTCTTTAAAAAATTCTTAAATTTTAATTTCAAATAAAAGCGATTTTTTGTTTTATGGATTTTATGTAATAGTGTAACACCTACAAATCAATAATTAAATATTATTTCGTAAATATGTAACGTAACATGATAATCTAAAAATATATTTACTAAACACAAACATGATAAGCCTATCTTTTCTATTTGCAAGTAGCATGATTTCATAATGCGCAATAAATTTTAATTATTATTAAATGTAAGCTTGTTATAATAACAGATTTTAATATGTTTTGTTAATTTAAAAATGTCCAAAAAATTCCGCAAAAAAGATACATTTACATATACAATTAATTTAGATATATTGGATGAGTTTTTTTAACCAGAGACTACAAAATATCTGGAAAAATAAGCATTGTACGAAAAAATATTCCAAATAAACCCTCAATATTTTTGAGGGAGCAATTCTATCCCGCAAAAGTTAATCGCCTCTCATTCCTTCCTGAGATTGGGGTAACTTCGAAATCTTAAATGAAAACCTTCCCCTACTTTCTATTGCAGATTCGAATTCTACGTTCAAAGACACGTCAATTTTGTCTAAACCCTTTTTTTTCCGATTCTTGATGGCGCTGCATTTGACGAAAATTGATTAATCTTAATCTTCTTCAAGGGAAATCTTCATGTTTTATTGCACAATGATGCTATGTTGAAGAAAACAACTTTTGTCGAAAATATGTTTTTTGAATTATCGTAGATGCCTACGATAATTTTTTATCCGTTCTTAGCTTTACCCAGGATTAAGCCATCTATTAGGAATCGAAAAAAAAAGTTTAGACAAAATTGACGTGTTTTTGGACGTAGAATCCGAATCTGCAATAAAAAGTAGGAATTCCCGTTTAAGATTTCAAAGTTATCTCCAGCCCCACCCTCAAGGGGGAGGGGAGGCGGCTAACTTTTGCGGGATAGAATTGCTCTCTTAAAAATATTGAGGATTTATTTAAAACATTTTATCGTACAATGCTTATTTTTCAAATATTTTGCAGTTTCTGATTAAAAAACTCACCCAGTGTATATATGTATAAATATTTCCAATATAATATTTTGCACACATACATTAGTAACGATCTTTTTTAAATGCGCACAAAGTATTACAAAATTATTGTATAATGTGTTGATATAAACTATATTAAAAAATTACTTGTTATACACAAAACCAAATATACACGTCTATGTACTCAATTGCGATTGTCATGCTGGATGCTAATTCGGATGAGCAAATCATCTTGCAAAAGAGCAAAGCCGGTGCAATTATCTTTATGAAAATGAAAATAAAAAAAAATCGAAGGCAAGGAGGAGAAAAAAATAAAAGTTAGGCTTGACTAAGTCATGTGAGTGTGATTTGGGTTGCTTCCTACCTTGCCACCCTACAAATTCTCCAGCTTCGCCTGAGGAACACAAGAGCACACATTAGTACGGCAGGTAGGTAAGGTCAGGTTCATGGTAGTAAAGCCTAGTTATTTTGCAGTGGTATAGCAGATAAAATTATTTTTGAATTTAATAATTACCCAACTTATTAAAAAATTATTTAAAAGTTACTCTTGAACAAACCTGGAATAATTATGTTGACAGATATGTGTTTAATTAAATCATATAAACGATTGAGAGTCAAGCCATTTTATCTATTGCGTAAAAATTCATAATATTTTTATATTTGAATTTTTATATTCATTAATTCGTAATACTTTAAAAATAGGATATAAACTGCATTTTTTCGAATCAAATTTATGAGATGATAGAATATTCTAAAAAATACATATGTAACTACATGAATTACTTACATAAAAAATTAAAAAAAAATATATATATAAGCATATCAAATAAAATATTTGGTAAAAAGACCCATTTAAATACATTTACATACTAAAATACACAAGACTGAATATCTAACAGTAACAATCGAACGCAAACTACACCACTGCTTGTAACTAGACAATTCAAAAACCAATCCACTCCACATCACAGCAATCCAATCCAATTTAAAATATTACTTATTCGTTTATTGCTGTGTGGTTTTTGGTACGCATGCGTCTATGCCATTCTTCTCTCGCAACTCTCGTCAATGCCAGAAAAAAGTAATGAAACACTGGCATAAAAATGATCTCTTACCTTGCCTGGTAGGATCCATACTATTTGGCATCATTGGTTGTCCTGGTGGCTGTAAAAAAAATAACAAATTTATAACTCTATTATTTATAATATCTGTAATACTGTTATTTATAATTTATATCTACAATACAATAGATTTAAATATATTTAAAAATTATGAATAGACGTAAATTAGACATTATACTATATATGTAAATATTATTTTATTTATTTATTTATTTAAATCATAATATATAAATTAAATTCTCGTACTTACTCCATTAAAGTCATTTCCCATTTGTGGCATACGTACTCCAGGTCGTGGTCCTGCTGGATATCTAGGGCCCATAAACTGTAACAGAAAATAAACATTCATCAAATTGATCATATAACAAAATATATTGAGTTCGTAATTGGAAGGTGTAAATTAAGTATCCATAAAGTGTCAATCATGATTACTATACACAGAATTGACTAGATATAGTATAAATATCAGGCAGCCACAATAAGCAATCCGTGAGATGATAGGCCATAAAATATGCATTTCGAGTTCATCGCAGCACATTAGTTGGTTATCATTACACAACATTCCTAAGCCCAAATTATAGACGAGATTTATTTATAATATACTATGAACATAATATTCTAAACTATCGTAGAACTCTTTTAATAAATCTATGTTTCTGTATAAAGACAAAACCACGAAGGACATTATGAAGGAAACAATTATAGCAATTGTGGCGACAATTATGAATTTCGGTTATACCATGATATGGTGCGATGACACAGCGGAATAAGTGATTCTTCATGAGTGAGAGTGTATGTGTTGAATGAGGCTTACCTGGGTGGACATCATCTGCGAGTGTGGGGGCGGGGGTGGCTGGGGGTGCTGGGGGGATGGCTGTGATGAGGGGTGTGTGGGCGGAGATGGTCGCATTGTCGAGTTGTTCTGCAACAAGCAACGCAAACGACAGACATGTAGCAACACTGCGATCCAGGCAACAGCTAGACTAGAAGGCTTTGGGGATGATTGTGTTAATACTATGATCGATCTCAGCATCTTAAGTTATCCGACAGAAAGTTGTAATTAGGAAAAATCGTTCTAATGACGTTTCAGTGTCTGTCGTTGTGCACCCTCTTTTCATAATTACAACCTGTATATGAAACGATTTTATACTGTGAAACAAGACATACAAGAGAATATGAAAAGATGCCAATCAATTATAAAATGTACAACGTTATTAGAACGTAAAACGATTTCGTTGGAAAGAATATATGATGACTCCTAAGCATTACAGGATACCTATGTATGTAGAGATCTAGAAACAATTTGTATCACTCACATATTGTGTAGCATATTATTTTTCTCTAATCTAGTAGGGGACGACTACTTTGACAAGCAATAGATGCATAACCTTTCTTAATTTTCTTCTTTGCATATACATTTTATATTATTTATATTTTTTTATTTATAATAAATGGTTGTCACAAATATTATCATTAAGATCAATGATATAAGATCATATTTATATCATTATACAAATAAATAAAGAATAAATTTCAAATATTGATAAGAAAAGATAACAAATTTATATCTTTTGCGTGTAATTATAATCTTTAACAAATGTATAATTATATATGATTATATATTAAACCATAAATTTATAGAATTATATACATATTTACATATATCACGTATTTTAAAAAATTATAAATTTTTTAAATTTTTTTATATAATTAATCATATAACAAATAATTATTGTAATATCTATGAAATCAACGTTTGTCAAATAATACAAATAATATCGTGGACCATTTGTAAAAAAAACTAAACTACATTTCTAAGCAGGCTTCCATGTTAGTTGTCCCATACATTCTAAAGAGTATAACTTTGGCTGGCTATGTAATCTAAGAAAATATTAATTTTAAAATGTTAATTTATATATCCTGCAAACAAATGTTTGTATAGCACGAATGAAACAGTAATGTCTCTACCTGCAATATTTTTGTGTTACTGCGACATGGCCAGCGCAAAGTAATATACTCTTCATGATATGCTTACTGTACCACAATATTGTGCTCTAAATGTATTCTAACATCTATATAATCCTGTTCTTCATAGAGTTTCTAGATTTGCTTTATGCGCCAAGAAGATGAAACAGTGAAAATGGTACAAGAACGCACATACAAGTATTAGATAGAGAGCAGAGAGAAAGTAAGTACATATAAACAGTATAGAGACAAGCATGACATAAGAACGTCTTTTGAATATACACTTGTTTCAAAACAAGTTAATCACGACTACAACTAATGTGTGTATATTTATCGGTAACAGGGATGTATAAATATATTTAGTTAAATAATTATCATTTTTCGAACTCGACCAAAAGAAAGAAAAACAAATTGTACAAAAATCGGTTCTGTCACTTATTTACACATGTAGCTTATTTAAAAATTATTTAAAATTATCTATATCGATAATTGTTTTCTAAACAATAACCTAAATTAAATATTGGCAAGTTCTTCATTTATTTACTTAGATGTTTTCTATATATTTCTTCTTGATTTATTAATTAAATTAAAATTATATTTTCTTATTAGATTTGGTTACGTTACAATCTTTATTTTAAAACTAGCTTAATTGTATTATGCTTTGAATCAAGTGTAAATTTTTAATAAAGGACTATGCATAACAATGATAACAGATACACGACTATATGTGTGTAATACACACATACACATATCTAGTGTATAAAAATATACGCTTTAGATTCATATTTAAAATCATTTTAAATTTTCAAAACGTTAATATCTTTTTTTTTTTCAAAATATCTAATAATTTTTATGTAAAATCTATTTGAAACTATTTCAGAAAAAATGCTATCACTACACAAGTAATAATTTGAATAGAATAAATCTTTTATTTTAATAAAAATTATCAAAATAGATTTTACAAATATTAATCAAACTGTAATTATGTGACAACCGACTTAATGAAATAATAGTTTTTTCACTTTATGTATTCTGTAAGTAAAGATAAAAACGAATGATATTAAGACATTTTTATGTTATGAAAACTCACTGGGAAGAAAGCAGGAGGCATGGGACCACCAGGCATTCCGTCGTTTGGTGGCATTTGACCAATTGGGGAAGGAGCTGGCCCAGCATTCTGTAAATATTTCAATTTCATTTCAATTTCTAATATTAATAATCTTCTTTATAATTATCAATATAAACAAGCGTTAAAATGTAAAGTTTAAATATATATGCTTAATGATATATATATGTACTAACATATTTGACATAAATTTTTCAACTTACATGTGCAATTCCATTGACGTTGTAAGCACTATTCACGAATCCCTGATAACAGAACATGTGTTATAAATAATATGCAAAGCAAATGCAAACGCATTTATGTTTAATATTAAATGTTGGTTCAATATCAAACAATCGATAATTTTATGCGAATTACAAAAGAGTATTACAGTTATTAATATAATTACATAGTCATGAAAAGCTTTGGCCTCACTGCTGTGTTCACAAGAGTCTCTTCTCTCGGGCGCTGCGCAATACAGATCCCAAAAGACACTGTAAAAGAATGTTATAACGATTATTTTGCACTGAAACATCCCTGCGACAATTTCTTTGATGTAACATAGTATATACTTACCACCACCAAGAGTGCAAAAACCCAGGTGGTTCTCCCAGCGTAATATTTTTCTCCCATCGAATCTAAACAAGCAGAGTAAATCGTATTGTAGTAAAACAATAGTTTGCAATAATACAGACGTAAAAGGTTTACATAGATAAAAAAAATCATTCTACCTCTGACAGAAACGTTTGTGCTGCTTTTTGTGCTCCTACATGTAACAAGTACTCGTACACGTAAAGCGCCAATCTGAAAACATGATTAACCATCAGCTATTAATAAAATTAAGTAGATAATTTCAAGCGAGAACTAACTTTGAGACAGCGAGAGGCGAGAAATGTAAAAAAGGCAGGCAGATTACGCAAACGAAGAGGGATCGGTATCCGTCATTCGTCTTTCTCTTCTTTTTTTTTTAGAAAGCCCGTACTTAACTCGAAACCGCCTCGACAATAGCACGGGTCCGTTCGTTAAACGTGAAGTTAACGCCGACTTTCCCCGCGCAAGGCAGTAAACGCGCGGCTGGGTGCATCGTCGAGCGAGCCAGCGCGCCGAGGGAAGAGCCGGGCGATACAAACATGGCGCGGGAATCGGAAACCGCCGATCCGCGAATCGGAGCGGAGCGTGTACGCGGTTCCACGGTGACTGACAGCGCGCGCGGATCAATCGCCTCTCGCGAGAAAGCGGGTTACGCGCGGGCTAGACAATCTTCCCTGGCCGGGTCGATTTCGTTTTTTTTTCCATCCTCGATTTCGTTTTTCCCATCCTCAATTTTCCGATTTCCGAACGTCCGGAGCATACAGCTAACTTTAATTCCCGAGGGACTGTCCAGGGGTCTAATTCTGGAAAAGTGTACTTCATACGAAAAACTAGAGAAATCTATAATATACATAACGTATAGTATTTTTGTATATTGTGTACGCGATATTTATCAAGAATTTTTCAGGTCCTGCGGTGCGTTCCGTTTCATGAATAATGCGTACGACGTATTATTTTATCCTTGTTTAATATTCGATGAATAACATGAATTGAAAAAAATGATGTAAAGTGAATTATTTTAATTGAAAACAATTTATTTATTCAATAAAACAAATAAAATTTTATCAAAACAAGAGCATAATGTATTTGTTTCATTAATGATGTTATTGATTCAAACAAAAATATTTTCAAATTAATAAAATATTAAAATATATTAAAATAACGCAGTTGATAACATTATTCTTTTTCAGTGTGTGCATCATACGTGAAACGGAGCTCACTCCTGTACTCGATTCTGTAACTTAACGATAATTCGATATCATTACATTGTCATTACGCAGTCTGTCTTTTTTTATAAAAAAAAAAAAAGTTCCTTCCACTGTATAATACCTGCGAAACGACAAAAATAATAAATATTATGTGTTGAGAATTAATAATTATTGTATGTTAATAATACATAACAATAATAATTATTATATGTTAAGAATTACAAAATCGGAAAACATCCTTAAGACTATCACACTACGTTTTGAGATTAAGAATTCCGAATTGGAGATTAAAATTTGGTCAGAGTCAGATAATTTTAATTTTAATCCGACTGGTTTTGAATTCTAATCTCTAATTCCAAATCTTCAATGCGAGATGCTAAGAGAGATAAAACGACATTTGTGCCGACTTGTGTCACTAATGCCCATTTCTCTATCAATGTAATTTCATTTTAATCTTGGTTCAACTGGCTCTTCAGTTTTTTCTAGTTTTAAGAATTAGAGAAAAATGAAGAGTAAGTCGAACCGAGATTAAAGTTAATTAATCTACATTCGGTGAAAATTTACCTAAATGGAAAGCGCCAAGACAAACATTTTACACGGGCTTTAAGACGTGGGACATCCTCTGGATGTTTTCAGGACGTCCTACGGAAGTCTGTGCCTACATGAGAAGTTCCTCGAGTTCGAGACCGCAGACCGGTCGATCGATTGGATTACAATTCTCAATTCGCATCGCAATCAGAACTGCGATCTGGAAGGGACCAAGGTATCGCGAGTTGCGAGTTAATTACGACTGTTACGGCAATCAGTCGCATCGGCGGTTTATGACCGGCTAATTCCAGTTAACGACTGCTCCCGACCTCATTCCGTAGCTAAAACGTTAAGTTTGTTCACTCAAGTTTCGCTTTCCCAGCGTATATTGTACTTGCGATATTTAGAGAAGGAAGACGATAGAGGGAAACGAAAGCGCGAGAAACGAAGCCCGAGTTTAAAAACTCGAATGCGGCAACTCGAGATATCGCCTAACGCCATAGACAAAAAGATCGATACATCGACAACTTCGCGCGATTAGTCGGAACAATTTCAAATTGAAGAAGTGACATCGTTCAAGATCACTCGCCGGCTAGTAATTATAATTGTAATGTAACCAATCTAATTAATTGTAATCTAACTTTCTAATATCTCCTTCCACTAATATAGATTAATATCGGTTCAACTTACTCTTCAATTTTTTCCAATTCTAAGAGAAGATAAGTATAAGTTGAACCGAGATTAAAGTTAATCAACATTGATACAAACGAGCATAATTCAACTTGATTTCATTTCCTACTGAATTTGATATCGCTCATATTCATCCGTCCGTTGGCGTTCGTTTCGCACCATTGAGATCCAGGGCTGCTCCAATTCATGCTCACAACGCTCATGAGTATAATTTCTCCTTGTTTTTAACTTTGGATGCTTTTCATTTAGTGATACAAACATCCTTTCATCTCTCGCTCAATGTAACTTATGGATGAACTTAATCTGATGATTTTGTAACAAATAACTTTTGAATTATCATTACAAAACCTTCAATTTAGTGATTGAGCATAGCTAGAGAAACACAATTTTTACATTATCATCAGATTAAGTAGAGCTAAATATAAATCACAAGTTAATTAGAAAATAAAAAACAGAATTTCGATATCCCACAAATAACAAAGACAGAACGACTTATCAAATCAATCTGGGTCAAATGAAAAGTCTTTGATGAACAATAAGAGTGAGACTGCGTTCAGCAGAAGAAACAGTTATCCAACTTTTATAAAATTCTTTAATACGAATAATTTATACAGTTAAGTTCAGTGAATAATTATAATAAGGGTAAAATAAATCATATTAACCCTTCTCATTTGCTTTACATTTCTTTTCTTCGAAAAAACTGGGAGCATCGAGTAATTAATTATATAACATTTATATACCATTTTTTTAAATACACAACCTTCCAGATACTTCCTAAAGATATTGAAGTATATGTAAGAATCATCTTAGCAATTTTTGTATATCTGTTAAAGTGATAATTCATTCAGGATATGAAAGATCGATCATGTGTGATAAAGGACCGGAAAAACATTGTGTGTACTGAAGATTAAAGAATTTTATAGTTGTAAAGCTTTTTTTTGCTAAAGGCAGCCAATGATTCCATGAGTGAACGTGAATTGGATCAACCCGTTTTCGAATTGAGTATTGAAATGATTTACTCGAAGGCGGGATTCAGAGATTTGCGAAGTGTCCCGGCAAACAAACTGACATTTGTCATTTTGCATTGGCATTCAGAAATTTGTCAAGAAAGGGCCATTGGCTCGTTGCAAACAAAATTTTTTAAGGTCAAGTATTAAAAAAATAGAATATTGAATTATTATTTAAATTATTGCATCGAAAAATTATCATTTAAATGAGTACTTCATAAAACATTTTATTTAAAAATAAATAAAAACAATAAATTAATACAAAGAGGAAGAATAATATAATGAAATCCGTATTATTTATACGTAGGAGTTTTTCAAATTAAAAAATATTTTTGAAATATCAAAATTGTGATTAATTTTAGAAATATTTAAAAAATGTACAACATGCTATAAATATTTTTAAAAGAGGGAACTCCAAAAGGAGGAGACATAATCCCTTCATGATCCCTTCACTCGGTAAATCCACCAGTGTCATTTTAACATAAAAGACGTCATTTTGACGTCGAGAATGGCCAATGATGAACAACGCCAGCCCATTTGCTGGGGAAATTGCTGGAATCCTCGGGAATTTTCACCTCGCGAGTTTTCTCCTCGCGATGGCGCGTGTCAGCGATCGAGCCTTTCGCACATCAAGTCTCGAATCGATCTCGCGCGAGGGGGGGGAGGGGGGAGGAGAGGGAGGGGAGGGAGGGCGGATATGAGAGAGGAAAGGGGAAACAAGCAAGGGAGCATCATCGCGTACGTAGAATATAGTTCGCGAACGAGAGAAACATACAAAAGAGGGAATCGAGAGAAGAGAGAAGAACAAACGAATGGGCTCATCGGCCATCGGTAGGTAAACTGGATTAACCCGACGAACCGGGTTCTCCGGTCGCAATGTACGCGCGATGCACACGCTCCGAGCAAAAAGAACCGGCGAGACGGCGAAGAGGGTGGTGGAGGGAGCGTGGAAGGGGAAGAGCGAGCGGGGTCTCCGGGTACGCAGAGGGGTGGCGGGAGAGGTTAGAAGGGGAGGGGGGCGGGAGGCAAGAGGATGCCCGAGAAAAATGGAGTTATACCGAGCGATCAATGGCCGGTCGGAATTTTCACAACGGAACGCCAATCATCTTTATTTCTCTCTTTTTTTCTCTTTCGCGCTCTCTCTCTCTCTCTCTCTCTCTCTCTCACTCTCTCTCACTCTCCTTCAATTCTCGCTGATACGATACGATACGTACTTTTCCCTCGCCTGAGAGTCCGAGGGCACCGCCGACCCTTTTCCCTTCGCGTACATGGTCGCCGTGGTGGCCGGTCAATGCTTCTAGCGTAAACACAAGTGCGTCGCCGTTCCTTCGTATAGCCGCTGGACGGCTGAAGTGGAGTTCAAAAGTATACGGGAAATATCGGAGACTCTCTCGAGTCGAGTCTCGCGGGCGCGCTACGCGCGATTCCCCGTCGTTGTATACGTGTGCGGCGTCTGTCTCGCTTCACCCGACGGCGAACGGTAATCGCTCAGCGTGCTTACGTCGTCGACGTGCGACGTCGTGTCAAATGAAACGCGATCCCGAGGAAAAGGTGCACATACACAGAACATATACACAGATCTCACACACAAACACACACGCGCGCACATACACGCACACTCTTTTAATTTACGTCCGTCTCTTTCCCGCTCGCTGCAGCACAGAAAGGAGTCTCGCGGGGAGGTGTTTCCGTCTCACTCTCTCTCTCTATCTTTTTCTCCCTCTCTTCCTCACCACCTCCCTGTCTTGCTCGCTCGCTCGCGCGCCGACAAGAAGGTCTTCTCCGTCCCGCTTTCGTCGCGTCACGTCACGAACACGTCGCGTCACAACTGGAGCGAGGTGCCTGCTGCTGCGCGATACTGGAGCGACACGGTGCGACGCATCACGACGTCGTCGTCGTTGTCGTAATCGTCAGCGGTTGATTCAGGTGCGTCGCTGGGGGCGCCTCGTCGTCGTCGCCAGCACTGTCGCTGTCGCCACCGCCGTCCAAGTCCTCATCGTTTCTTCTACGACTTCCTTCCTGCAACCTCACAGTCTTTCCGGTATCTTGCCTTCACTAATTCGCGTTATCGCTCGAACACGACGCCGTCCTATTGTCTTGGATCGCGATCGTTACCAACGTTGTTGTCGTCGTCGTCGTCGTCGTCAACTCACTTCACTCCGTACGTTCGCTCGCTAGCCACTGTGACTGTCGGTCGCCTCGTACTCGGTACTCGTTGCTTGTCTCGAAGACGAACAACCTGCTCGTTGTCGTTGTTGTTGTTGTTGTCGCCGTCGGACGCGACTCTTGTCCTTCGGCGAATCTCGCTTTGTCGCGCGCGCTCTCAACCTGAAAGCGTCTCGCAACACGGGAACGGTGTATCACTGCGGCCGTACGATGTACATAACGCATACGTGCCCCTTGCGCGCGCGCACATGTATACGCACACGTAAACTTCTACCACACACTTCTACATACACACCAAGTATACGCGCACGCACGACTAACGCACACGCACGCCCCGAAAGTCCGCACAATTCGCTAGCAAGCCCGCTAGAAGGGACGCGACGGCGATGCGAGAGATGGAACGAAGCCGGGAAATGAGGGACGGAGCGAGGAGAGTGGGAGCGGATTAAACTTACTGTCGTGTAAACACGAGCAAGTTCGGAAATGTGACTCGTGGATTTCGCACGCGCTGCACGACTACACGCAGATGAGTCGGTGGAGTATACCCGTCGCCTCTCTCTCTCGCTCCGTGCCTATTTCGTTACGCTCTGTCTCGCTCGCCGCTCGCCGCTCCCTTCACACCGGTCTCTCCCTCCCGTCCTATCGCTCGATCTCTCGCAGTATCGATGCGCTGTCCTCGTCCCTCGCACCGGCCGGGAACTGTGCGCGCGCATCGCCGTCGCTTGTTATGCCAGTGCCGTTACGAGTGGCTCGAAAAACGGAGGGGCGAACGAAGCCTTCTACGTTCCCGTGGTTTGCTTGATGATTTTCTCTGTTGTCCGTTTTCTACCAATGTATAGATTAACTTTAATCTTAGTTCAATTTACTCTTTATCTTTTTTTAATTCGAAGAACTGGAAAAAGATGAAGAGTTAGTAGAACCGGATTAAAATTAAACTTGGTAGAAACAAACATGTATCGTCGATACGAACAAGTGGCTGCGTTTAGCAGAAAAAGCAGTTTTATAACTGTCGCAAGATTCTTTATGACTGGCTCCTGTCTGTAGTTCCTCATTTGGATTAAATGTATTATATATCTTTCAAAAATTTTGAAGTGAATCTTACTCTTTTTCAAAACTCAATTATCATTCTTTAGAGTGAGATTCTAGAAGAGATTTCCGAAGAGTTTAAAGATTAAATATTAAAGAATTTTGTCACAGTTGCAAAGCATAACTTTTATATAATATAATAATTCTTTTTAATTATATTTTTCTAGTCTAAAAGGAAATCAAACTGCGGTACTTTCATTTTAATTTTAAATAAATATTGAAATGCATCAAAATCTTACATTTTTTAGATACATATGCTAGCTTGCAAAACTGCTTTTTCTGCTGAACGCAGCAAAAAAATGTTTCACATATAGGTCGTAATTTGAAAAAATTGATTATTCAAGATTGCTTTAATAACCGTTTCTTTCCTTTATGCATAATCTTCTCGACGTAATCGTGCTTGTTGCTATCATATTTTCGCGGAAATATTCATCGAAAATATGTCATATACGCAGAGAATACAATTAATTCCATTATGAGTTTATACTAACTTCCATTTAGATTTGTGTTATTAAATTTTAAATCCAACGGAAAAACGAATCATTACTTTTTGCTGCGGTTGAAAAATTCAATTGATAAAACTTTATTTTGTCTTCAAGGGTACATTTTGCCTGAATTCTGACGCTACCTGTTTTTCTTACATTGTTCTGCAGAGAAAGTTTTCTAACACGTAGCATTCATCTCTATGAAAGTCGACACGGAACGAATTAAGAATCCTAATACTAAAAAGGCCCAGTCGGATCTTGCATTGAATTTGAATTTTCGAAAATATTACGCTGCAAAAAAATTATATATGTCAAATTCGCTTAAAATCGTTACAAATAGATTAATATATGAAATAGCTGCACTTGTCAAATTTGTAAAAATTAATCGTTCTTTCTGACATTAGATAGGATTCCTTCGTTTGCTTGTGATATAGGTATTGTTAGCCCATGTGACAGTTTATTATCTTATTTTTTGCGCGAAGGAATATAATTACAATATTTTTACCATGATTTTAACAAATTAGTAAATTACAATATTTTATCTCCTGCCGGCCTTGCGTTGTCTTGGCCATGTTATTGACAACGGTAATACATATCGGCGTGCGAGGTAAATAAAGCGTACTATCTCGTCGAGCGGAGACTGGAGAGCTGCCGAGCGGATTGGCGGAGCGCGCGTTTTCCGCGCGCCGGGATACTTCCCATATAAGCGGATTCTTTGCGAATCATCGTCGTCATCGTCATCGTCGTCGTCGTCGTCGAAGCGCCAACGAGCGACATATCGCCGCTTTGTCGCAGCTTGTCGTATGGAATATCGTTGTTGTTAAAAAAAACGCGCTATGCACGATATTGGGATAGGTCGATACTTCGAATTTGCGATAAAGGGCGCAGGCGTAAAACAAGCGAGAAATTCTATCCCGCGCGATGACACACCGACAGCACGTAGTCGAATAAAGGACGAAGCTGTCCTAAAAAGGACTCGCGTGGCAGGATGGTAGGCGGAGGGGGTGGAAAAAGGGCGCACAACTCTCGCTCTCGCGCCCGTTCGTGGTACGCCACTGGTTGCAACTCCTCGTCCGATTGGTCGCCGGCCGATGCATACACACACACACACACACACACAGAGTCATAATACGCCGGTGTGCACACACCAGCAAGTACTATCGGCGTGCGTGCGTCGACAATCCCTGGAACGGTGTAGGAGGACGCGGGGAAGAAAAGCGCGATGCAAAGACCCGATTACGCCCGAACGTCGGCGGACGTGTCCGACGCGAAATAGTCGACAATTGACGCGATAGAGAGTTTGGCGAGAAGGTAGCAGCATATCGGGCAGGGGAGGGGGAACGAGAGGAGGCACGCTGTTCTCTCGGGTGAACCGCTTCCCCCTTTTTCAATTTTATCATACGATCGACGTTGCGACTCGTATGTTGCTATGCAAAATTAGACGAAATCTATAATTCTGTCATGGCTTTCTCTCTTTCTCTTTCCATATTTCTCTCTCTCTTTCTCTTTCGTTGTTCGTTCAAGCGACGGAACTCGAAATAAATTGCGCGAGGCAACGTTAACTGATGAGAACTGTAGAACATTAATCATGAGGCACCCGTCTCGAAACTCGCAAACTAAACGTGCGAAAATGTTTAATGCAATAATCGCGGTCCTTTATTGCTGTCGAGCATTTATGTACCTTTCTAAGTACGTCTGTCAAAATAAATTTCTCGATGTTTAGACTCGTACCAATGGATGGCCTAGGCACGATTACATGGGAGGAATTCCTCGAGAATGCAGAAAGGTTTCTTGTTATTTCAGACAAGATATCGGACGGATGGGATCTTCATGGGGACAAGGTACATCATGTATCATCGAGTCATTTATTCGCGCGAATTACGTGCAGATCGAACGGACGCATAAAGTATGCAAATTGAATCATTCGATTAACATTATTAATGGATTTCACAATTATGCAGTCTATTCATCCATTGTTTATTGTATAAACATACGAAATACAAAACTTTGTAAAAATTTCACAAGTTGAGTAGTATTTTAAAATTTTGCAATTTTTAAGTTGTACAATTTTGTAAGACCTAAGTGCTTAAAATGAGGTATCGTTTGCGAATTCTTTTAGGAGAAGTTAAACTTATTAATGATTATTTAAAAATATCTATTGCTATCTACAGTATATCTACAGCATCATCGCTTATTATATTTAAGACAAAAAAATATGTAGATCTGAAAATAATTTTGTTGGACTATTAAAATAGTCCTACAAAACGCATAAACGTGCAAAATGCATAAATAAACGATTCTGCAAAAAGTTTTGACATTTTCAATAAAATTATTTTTAGATCTAACTAAATTCTTCTGCTTCAGTAGAACCGTTTTTTTCTATGTAAACAAAACAATAGATTACGATAATGTCAAAATAACATTTTTTATTAGAAAAGTAATTTTTAATAATTATTTCGGAGCCATTTGTACGCCATTTTGATATTATCATGATTTTGTTCTATTTCCCAAAGAATACATCAAGAATAATTTTATTTTTTCAAAAGCTAAAATGTTGATATCAAAGAGTTTGACTATTTATTAATATTAATAATCAAAATAAATTAATTTTGATTTTTTGAGTTAACTTTTGTATGTTCCTTGAAATGACATTTGACATTATAATTTTCATCCATGTTCTTATCCATGATACGTATATTTAGGATATTCCTGGACAAGCTTATCTAGTTAGAAGAGCCAAGTACTTCGTTCCAAGTGACGCGACCGCAAGAAAGGACTGCTTGACCGACGACGATAACGATACCCAGGAGTTTCACGTGAGATTTCGACAAGATCCGCACGAGGCTGTTTCCACAAGTGAAACGCCTTTTATTATCGAGCATCACATTCTGTGGTCTATCAGCTATAGCGTCCCAGTTCTCTTCTTCAATGGCTGGAAATCAGGTAATCTCAAACGACAGCTGACTTGTAAAATATTTGAAAAAAATCCATTATCTGCGCCTTCGTAGAAAGGGATTCGTAGAAAAGAAAGCTTATATCACAAAAGTTAAGTTAAAGATTTTCTGAAAGGACGCGGCATGGGGTACTTTCTCGAAATTTTGTTTATGGGAATATGCACAGCTTAAAATTTGCGGTTGTCGGATACTGTGCATTGGTGCTACCCTGCCTCGCATGCATCGTTTTATTGATTATAAACGCAAACGTGTCCGACTATTTCAATATTCGCGCAGATATGTCGACGGTATTAATTAATCCCGGTAACGCGTTTCGGTGGAGCGGAAATGCGTCATGTCGTTTAGATTAATTAACACTGATCACCTTTTGCATATTCATCATTGCGGGAAGAGGCAATTGTCGTGAGACATGCATATTCTTTTTTTTTCAGCATTTTGCCCTTCTTTTTTTTAGATTTCCCCGGGATTAACCCAGTGAGCGTAAATGAAGCTCAAACGGTCCATGGTTACAAATTAAATTACACGGAATTATCGCAAGCGATTCACCCTATCGTCGGCACGCCATTCTTGCAATTACATCCGTGTCTGTCCCAAGGGTTGTTGCAGACCATGTCAAAGAGGTGAGGAACAGTAGGAAAATTAAGAGAAGAAATGAGAGCTACGTTAAAGGAACTTTACACCCTTTGAAATAATTTTCGTTATTCATCGTGACATAATTTTATAATTGCAGCAAAAATAAACTCGTCAGCTGGCTGAGCTGCGTGGCATCCGCGGCTCTAAATCTCAAAATACATCCGGAGTATTTCAAATTGACTTACTGAAGCTTAGACCGAACATTCGAACGAACAATTCAACGGAAATATTTTAGACCTTGTAAACCAGTGATGTGCAACCAGTATTCTTAATTTTCCAAAAAAAATGAAAACAACAGAAAAAAATCTAATTTATCTTATTTACATAAAATAGAAAAAATGATTTTATGTTTTTGATTTCGATACAATATATTTTATCCAAAAGACATCCTGGAATGTTCAGAGGGATGTTCTTTGGACGTCTTTAAAACATATCTTGGAAGTCTGTACTATATCAGCGTATCGCAAAAAATCCACAGACGGGCCACATGCAGGCCACAAGTTGCGCATCACTGCTATATAATCATTTCTGCGAGCATTGTTCTTTGCATTCCAACTTTACTGAAAGGAGGAAAATACAAGTCAAGGTCTGTTTTCTGTAGTTGAACTAGTACTACACTTTTGGAACTTAAAGTAAAACAGATATATATATTTTGTATTTGACGAAAGCGAGAAAAAAAGTTCTAGTGCACTCTATACAAAACAGATCTATATTTTATTTTTGTAAGTCCGTCGTTTAATTAACCGATGACTCATACGTCAAAGAGACTTTCCTGTAAGTACCTAGGCATGTTTCAAGAGATCACCCTGCGTGCGGGAGCGTCTTCGCTCGATTAGATGCGAATAATTCTAGTCACGAATATTCGATGGTGACGACGATTCGAGTGGAATTCGTTCGCGGTTGTCGACAACGGCATGGCGGATCTAGCGTTGACCCATGGTGGGCCGAGCAAATTGCTCGCAATTGGGCGGCATTTCGAGTGCGCGCGCGAGAGGGGAAGCAGAGGGCAAAAAAGGTTGGAGCGTGGAAAAGAGAGCACGCAATTAATGCGACCGCGCGCGCGAGGCAATTAGTCCGCACAAGGACGCATTTGCGTGCGGCCCCGGGAATATTCGTTCACGACGAATGCGCAGTTTTCGTATGCGCGCAAGTGCTTACAGTCGGCTGCGTTAACGATATCCGGTACAGAGCGGTTAACGCCACTTCTCGCCAATTTTCTTTACGCTGTTCGCGAACGCGGGCAATGATCATCGAACCATACAATTAATTGCATAAGCGAAATGTTAATCTAAAGTATGAGGAGAAGTTCAAACGTAAAAGAATAAGAGACTGAAGATGTTACTGATGACATCGTTAACACTGTTAATACTAGAAAAGTAGGTATCCCAAGCAGAACAATAATTAAGTCGCGATAATTTCAAACTGACTTAAAATGATCAAAAAATGATTTTTAATAATTATTCTGAAATCATTTTGACATCATTTTGATATTATAACGACTTGTTCTGCTTGGGTATCAAACGTTCATTATTGATCATTTTTATTTTTTAGATTATATTTCCGTATAAAAAATAAGATTCTAAAATTTGTTAATTTTTTAATAATAATAATTTAATAATAATTATTGTAATTTATGTGTATAATATTTGTTAATATTGGCATATATACGTCTAGAGGCCATATCGTTTAGAGGCGTCTTAAGAAGTGTTAATGGTCAAGGAAAAAGTCAACAAAAAATGAAAATGACTTAATTTTAGTTCTTATAATCAATAAACAGTCAATAAACAGTCAAATTTTATGAGAAGGTAATCACTTAATATAATTGTAGGATAGAGTCACCGAAATCATTTTAAAATTTGTATGAAATCCCGATGTATAATTATATATGTAACTATGAGAAATAATTGTATGATATTAGACAAAAATCAATTATTGTACCAAATAACTTTATATTAGGTTGAGTAAAAAGTCATCGCGTATTTTTTAGCTCAAAGTTGTATATACAATATCTTCGTCAATAATGAATGAAATTCAAATTTAAAAAAAGGGTTTTAAAACTTGAAATCTCTACT